CCGAAAATGGTAATCCAGAAAGCAAACGAACTGGCATAAGACTATGTACTACTGACCAATTGGGATGAGTGGTTGCATACCACTGATATCAACCAGCAGTGTTTCCTAGCCAGATCGAGGCTATTTAAACACCGGACTGCCGTTTCGCTTGTTTAAGGCCGAGCTCATCGGAGACGTAATCTGTCTGACTCAGCTAAGAGAGCCGAATCAGTTCAAATCACCCTATGTTGTGATCTGAATAGCTTGATTTCCAAAGAAAACTACGGTGAAATGTAGTAGTGAACTGTGTAAACTGCAAATTGCTAACTAATTTACAAACTGTAAATTTTTTGGATCGCCAGTGCCTCATCTATTCCTAGATGTCTTGATTTCAATCCCTTTGGTAGGTTGGATCGGAACTTATATATAGCTTTGAAGGGCTTTTCAAATGAAGCCGAATGTCTTTTATCAAACTTTATACCCTCTTTGTGTTCACCCTTTGCTAACCATACTGGATAGTGTTCCCGAGCGCGTTTTACAAGCGGACGTATGGTACGGCCAAAGTACTCTGCTCCACACGAGCAAGTGAACTTGTATATGCATGCTGAAGTGGCCCATTGCGGCAGCTTGTCTTTCACGTGCTGGGTGAGTAGTTTCTTGCAGGAGAATGTTATTCGTAGGCTGGCGGCGAAGTATGTTTTTACTGAGAGACTTAGAAAACCGTCTACGGAGAATTTCTGCTTCGGTATCACCTTTAAATTCGAGGCTCAATATCAGCATCTTTTTGGGGCCGACTTGGACCTTTTCAGGTTTTTTTTGGTTTTAAATTCTTGTCTATGAATCTGGTTTGGGGATACATTTTCTATCAAGGTCCTTCGGAGATTTTGCAATCCTTCGTCGATTGACTCCTCAGTACAAATCTTCCGAATCCTCGAGGAAAGAGAGTATATTAGGTTTCTCTTTTTGATTAGAGGCACACAACCTTGAAAGTTAACAAACTGTCCATTTCATGTGTGTTTTTTGTAGATGGGTCTTCTTAGAGGGTTGTCTGCATTTCTTCGTAGTTAAACATCGAGGAAAGGAAACATTGAGTTAGACTCAACTTCCAGAGTGAAGTCGATTTTTGGGTAGGCGTTATTGAAGATTTGAAGTAGGTTTTTTAGATCTCAATTCTCATCACAAATAATGAAAGTATCATCTATGTATCTCTTGTAGAGATGGAGGTCATCGTGATAGTTGATGATAAGGAGTTGTTTTCTAAGCTAGCCATAAAGCAGTCGGCCAGGAGGGGTCCTAGAGGAGAACCCATTGCTACTCCATCTACTTGCCTATATTTTTCGTTGTTGAAACTAAAATAGACGTTGAAGGTGCATCATAGTAACAGCTCTTTTAAGTAATGGATTGGTATACCGACATTGATGCTATTGGATTGAATGTAGCCACAAAGGAAACATACGGTTTCTGTCAGTGGAACGTTGGTGAAGAGAGAGACGATATCCAAGGAGACCATTTTCTTATCTGTCACGTTAACATTATTAAGTGAATCAACAAAATCGAATGTGTCACGGAGGTTGTGTCTTGACAACTTTCCTTTCACCGACCCGAGAATCTCCATCAGCCATTTCGCGACTGAGTGATACGGGGAATCTATCATATTTAGCATTGGGTGGAGTGGGACGTCTTGTTTGTGTACTTTAGATAAGCCGTATGTGTGCGGCGTTGTAGAATCAGATGGACGCAGTTGTTCGCATAGTTTTGAACTGATAATGGATTCGTCTTTCATTTTCTTCAATATCTTTTTTAGCTGGAGCTCCATATGTTCGGTGGGATCTTTCTGTAGAGACTGTTTTTGAAACTTTTATCATCAGATAGTATCGCTGAGAGTTTGCTTAGGTAGTAAATTGTAAATTTGATTTATGGCATGACCAGTTGGCCCGACTAGCCAGCCAGAAATCGAGTGGTTGGAACTGATATGGCTCTCTGAGCTGAGTCAGACAGATTACATCTCCGATGAGCTCGACCTTAAACAAGCGAAATGGCCGTTCGGTGTTTAGATCACCTCGATCTGGCTAGCAAACACTGCTGGTTGATATCAGTGGTACGCAACCACTCATCCCATCCAATCAGTAGTACAAAGATTTATACATTCTAGACATGTTAGTTATAAATTCGTATTATAAAGCAGCTGAATAACAGATCACCATGCTTTATTGTCCTCTACACATCAACCTCATTCAATGGCTACATGATAATGCCACGTGTCGGGTGATCCACAACGGAAAACTCAGAGAGGAGTTTGAAGTGAATACAGGAGTAAGACAAGGTTGCCTGTTATCACCGATGATATTCCTAATTGTGGTGGACTGGATCATACGTCAAACTATGCATGGGAGTGAAAAGACAGGAATATGCTGGACCACCGAGAAGAAGACTCTAGAAGATCTGGATTTCGCAGATGATATATGTCTTATGTCACACAAACTCAAAGACTTACTGGTGAAAAGCGACAAACTGGCTGAAGAGGCAGGCAGCGAAGGCAGGACTACAAATGAACATACAGAAGACGGAGTTGATGAAAACATTTAGCTAACACCAACTAGCACCAATCACTATCAACAGGAGGAATTTGAAAGAGATTACTTCCTTCACGTTATTTATGAAGCATTGTTTCAACCACAGAATAAATAGATGTCAAAACCAGAATCGAAAAGGCAAGGCAGACATTCATCACTCTGAAACCAGTTTAGAAATCCAGTGCACTCCATAATGAAGATCAAACGAGCAGCCAGAAAGAACTAGCAACATGAAACTCTGGAAACGAACCAACCACAGACCTACTGTTCAACAAATATCCCGAAGAAAATGGAGATGGATAAGCCAAACACAGAGGAGACTGTCTAGTGACATCACGTGCTGCGCATTCGAGTGGGCCCTGAATAGGAAACGGCTAGTTGGCTGTTCGAACGTCACACGGAGGAAACCGTGTGGAAAGGAGATGAAAGCTTATGGAAAATCCTTGGGACAGCTAAAGAGGACTGCAGGGAATAGGACAAAACGGAGATGTTAGGTTGAAGCCATGTGTTCCACTTGGAACCCACTACATTACGGCTTTGCTCACCATCCACATGCAAAACATTTAGGTATAAAAACCAAAACTCATTATGGTGATTGTAGAGGAACCACAGCAGTATGTAATCTGATGTTTGCTTAGATTATTTCAAAATCCTCCTATCACATAAAGTTAATATGACACTTTGTGAAAACTCGAATCTAAGTGGGAAACAACACAGCTAAGTAAAATTTAATTCTGAGATTCATTAATATTCGTTTTTTTAATTATACACGCTATAAATTTGTCTATCTATCCTATGGTCCAACGACTTACCTTTCATACTGTCAAAAAGAACTAACGTTGAAAACCAGACGACCTAATACAGGTATCAACAAAATTGAGATGCCTTAGCTGATTCAGTAAGAACTGCAAAAATCACTTTTGTTAGTATTTAGACGACTAGTTCATTTTTATTTTGGTTTCTGCGGTATTTCTCTATTGTCACACCTAGAAAATGTGTGGGAATATTAAACAATACAGGTCACTCAACTGAAATTATTCATCATACATAAATATATGAAATTGAACTGTTACTCTTCCTAATTTTGTCATTGTGAGTTAATGATTTCGCGAATGAAACATTTTGGGAAACAAGAACAATAAATACTGTGGGATGAACTGAGTACATTTCATTTCTTCTGCCCAAAAGTTTCTGTCGAATCAAAACACCAACAAAGAACCATCATCAAAGACCACAAGAAAATTCATTCTACCATACATGAGAAGTATCTCTGAAATAACAGCTAGAATACTGAAACCGTTTGATATAGATATAGCACACAAGCCAGTCAAATCGCTTAATTCGATATTATGCAAACCAAAGATCCAACAGAAAAAGGGGATAAAATTAATACCATTTACAAAATAAATTGTATGAACTGCAACAAGCATCACATAGGCCAAAGTGGGCGTCCCCTTCGAATCAGAATCCAAGAACACAAATCAGCCGTGAAATGCATATAGACAATTATGGTCATCAATTTGATTGGAATAATGTCAAAATCTTAGACAGAGGAAACACTAAAAGTGCCAGGGAATTCCTAGAAGCCTGGTACTCAAACGAAAATGCAATTAACAAACACGTTAATATAGACGAAATATACCAACTGATAAAAAGTAAATCAGGTGACCAGAAAGTTTAAAATCCAAGTCAATAGAAAATGGTCAATACACTCATGAAGAAATTTAAATCATTTCACTTTATGCTAAATATTGCGCTGAAGATGTTGTCCAGAAGGATGACGAAAGCTCCGCAACTAAACCAACCAGCTCAGAGAACACTATTAATTGCAAATCATCCACTTGAGCTACAAATCTTCTCTATTATTTCATAATTTAAACTTTGTATAAAATTTTGTAGTCTAAGGCATTACTGTCAAACACAAACTATCTGATATAGCTCAATAGTCAGCCCAAAATCAAATGAGTTTCTTCTCTTATATTTTACGTAAATATAAATATAGGTATGAAATACATAGAGTTCATAATCTAATTATTCATTACGGAGGAAAAGTATATACTGTTATCACAACCACAAATTAGATGAAATTAGGCATTTTCGTTGTCGGTTCAATGGTAGAATTCTCATCAGTAAGCGTTTAATTCCCGGCAAATTCACTCCTAAACCTCGATTAGCCTGTAGGAAGCTTGTAAAAGACAGAAGCTTGGATGAGAGACTAGCAACTTCACTCTACAAAAATAACGTTACCGCTACTGAAACCCCAAAACTTGAAACTCTAATTCCACTCGGGATGTAAAGAATGAGAAAAAAAACAGTTTTGTGCCAAGAAAACTTGATATCAATATGGTTAAAAAGTGACATTCTTCAATCTGTTTTAATACACATCTGCGTGTTAATGTAATTAATTGGCATTTTTCAATTTGTTGTTTCTTTTCATTTGTTTCTTAGTAATTCTGCCAACGAATCACACAGTCAATGCATTATTAAATAAAAATGGATCCACGAAAGTCAAATCATTTCGTAAAATAAGAACACAAAATAATCCAAAATCAAAATTCTTGTATAGACGAAGTGATCTGATTGATTCAGATAAAAATGATATCATAAAAATGAAAGCTGTATTGAACCATACTGCTTTATTACCATGTCGTCCAGATAAGAAATTATTAACTGAAAACGGTGTTGATGAAAACACGAAAGGAACAGTAAGTTGAATCAGATACTAATTGTTGTATATGGTGAACACTTACATGTTTGTGAATACTCGGAAGTGTTTTTGCTTGAATACATGATTTTGGTGTATTCGCAGTGTTAAGCTGTGGCATTTCAGTTGCTGACTATTCAACTCCAAACATTCTATTACACCGCTGTGTATCAGTTATTGGTGACCACAACGTACCTAATATTTTTCAGAACTGTAATTGCCGAACTAGTTAATGTTAACGCTCTCATTACTTTGTTTAAGAAAAAACTTTTGATGAAATCCCAGGCAAAGGTGTTCATTTCAAAGCCACGTTTGTCCACCTCAATATTTATCGAACGTTAGCTTTAGTCACGTCTGACAGACTGGGAAATAAACAGACAAATTCGTAATTGGTTGGAGGATTTCACCATGAGCTGACATAAGTTAGAGAACCATTGGAAAACCCGACAGCTGTTTTGTCCTAGTTTGGGACTATTCATCGGTACGCACCCACCGGGGCTCCATAATGAAATCCTCCAACCAATCAAACAAAATCCCCACAAAAAACCAATACTTGAAAATTCGTAATTCACAAATTAATTCGCGATTTGCAATTTACACAGTTCGAGGTGTAATTTCACCACAGTTTCCCTTGTAAGCTGAAATCATACAGATCACAATATGTGATCTGCTCGGTGCCGTGAAAAGCAATCAAGAAAGCAAGCATGAACGCACGAAGCTATATACTACTAATTGATTAATAGGAGTAGGTGGTAGTGATTTCTAGCCAGCTTGAAGTGATCTAAACTTCCGATGGACCTTTCTCTCGTTTAGAGCTGAGATCATTAGTGGAGTACCTGGTTAGACTTAGCTAAGAAAACCTAGTCATCAGCTGAAACGCCTCGAATTCTGACCAGCAGCATGGGCGCGACTTAATGTATTATCAATTCGCCCAAGTAGTTAGCCAGAATTCGATACATTTCAACTATTTCACTTCTCTAAGCTGGGTTAACCGGGTACACCACTCATAAGCTCGGTCCTAAATGATCGAATGGCCGTCCAGTGTTTAAATGACTTCTACCTGACTAACAAGCACTACCCATATCAATCAATCAGATAGTCGTTTCTAAAATATCATTGTGGTACTTGTATACTTAATGTCAATAGATAATGTTCAGTTGAATAATGTTCACAGAAAATACTTGGACTTCATCGAGGCAGAGCTTCTCTAAGTCTTTGAGAGCCTTTTGTTTCCTTTTGTACTAACTCCTGCTCAATGGACAATTTACCCTAAAATGAATCATAAAAACATTAAGCTTTAAATTTTAGAAAAATATTTTTCACGCCATAAACTTATTCGCTTTCTTGTTAATTAATGAATTCAAAGCTTTTTTATGCACGATTAATGTTTGCTCAAAGTGAATTAGATATTTGCCACTGTGGTTTATAAATTACGTCAAAATGTCTTTTGTGAAACTGATTGTTTTTTACGGAAATACTACCAGTAGTTAAACGGTAGATATGTGGTCAACCCCTAGATTAGTAACCATGATTTCCTAAATCACCTGAAATAAAACACTCAGCCGGGACTGCGATTCCGAATTACGAAGTTTGTAAGCGTAATCTACAAATAATGCAGTAAATAGGTTCCTAGTCGTTATTCAGATTGAAAACCTATTTCGTTAAGGAATGAGGAATCGTAATTGGCAGCGCTCATTAAAATGAGTGTCAGGACCGAGACTGAGAGTACACAGCAAATCATCAGAAGCTGAAAGCTATTTTGAGTTTGACTCCGGGCCAGTAGCTCAATTGGATTACACTAGCATCAAAACATGATTGTTGTGTGTTCTCTGTGTCAAGAGTACTGAAGATAAACATTGAAGATTTTCAAGCTATGTCAAGATGGTTAAACAAAACCAGCAGGTTGAAGATGAGACAGTAACTCATCGAAGAAGACATTGCGAAATGGTCGCGTTATGTCGTGAATTAGCAGAAGTTAGAATTCAAGGACCATTGGATCGGGTCCCAGTGGCTCAATGGTCCACGAACTCGCCTCTTAACCAGAAGGTCCTGGGTTTGAACCCTAGTAGTGGGTGCGTACTACTGAAGAGTCTCAAACTACGACGAAACAGCTGTCCAATACTCCTTGGTGGGTTTTCCAATGGTTCTCTAACTGATGTCAGCTCATGATGAAATCCTCCATGTAAACAAAAAACCTTGTTTTTGGCTAGTAACGAACACCAAGATTCCTAGAAAAATTTATTCCATACCAGCCAAGTATACAAATAGGAATTTCGCAGAAATATCAATAAACTACTGTTTTCAAAAATGCAGAGAAAATATCTTTATTCCAAGCCATAAAGTTGAGGGAAAACTTATATTTGTTATGTTTTTTATCACCTACGTACGTAAGATATTTAGTGAGACAGACTAGAATTAATTCAAATCCAAAGCCTGTTTATCCTAATTTGTTGTTGTTTTTTCCTCGAAACACAAGCTTTTCTCCATATGAAGTGAATATGTTCAATTTATTCGGAACACCTTTCACAAGGTTGTTTATTATGGTATTACCGTTTACTTCACACTGTTTTGTTTCTTATTCAAGTAGCATTTAGGAAATCTAATTTACTCAGTGATGACACTATTAATGCTAAAATTATTATTATTACGATTTCCATCATTTTTATACTTAACCACCTGCCACCATTTCTTTACTACTTCTGATATTGTTCAGTAGTTTGGTTTTTTTCATTTAAAATAAGGTTGAACACTTTCCCTTTCTGAGAACAACACATAAACAAACACAATTACCCTTCAAGAACACTTACAAGACAAATGATGAAAAGGAAACAAACTGTTTAACGCGTTTCTCAAAATGATAGGGAAGGATAACATGAATTGATAATATTACACATCAGGCCCATACACATCTCAAGTCCTTAAAAAAAATAACAGAGGAGAAAATTCATTTAAAACAGAAAGAAGGCTACTGAATACAAGGAAATATTTTCCCTCTAATTAATTAATTCGGTTTCAAAGTTCCGTTATTTCACTTTGTGCTTAAATTACTGGCTTGATCTCGAGCTGACATCATTTGGAGAACCGCTGGGAATTTAGCGAGTACTGAACAGTTGTTTCGTCCTAGTTTGAGACCGGAATTCCAGTCTAAAATATGTAACAAAGATGCCAAAATCACTTAATGAGTTCCTTGTTGTCAGATGAGTATTTCAATATAGGCATTATTGCCAGTATCATTAGTGACTTTATGAAATTTCTGTCTTAGGGAATTTACTCCAACCAGGCTTTTAGTGGGAAAGTTCATTTGTTTAAGTAAACAGGTTAACATTATTTCATGAAATGATTGGAGATTATAATGCTGCCTATGGCAAAGTTTCCTAGAGTACATTTATAACACACTCCCCTTGATACATTGAATTTATGAATTTACTGCTAAAACAAAAAGTTTCTGTAATCACTAGTTTTCAGTAGATTTCGCACCAAAATAACCCATCACCCTCTGCGGAAATAATACACTCTCGTTTACCAACTGCCACAATTTTTTTTGGCTACAGCTTGATTCCACACCGTATTTTTGGTACATGTATGGAATTTTCAGCATGTGATATCGGTAGCCCGAATTTTGCTGTCCGATCATAGATATCAGGTGTGCGTCGGCAAGGGATCGAACCCCGGACCATGTGCATAATCAGCGACAGTCTTAACCACTGTGCCACCGACGCACAATCAAAACTGAAGTAATAAACCATTCAAAACCATCAAAATACATCTTCCAGTACCACTAAATAAAATCTGTAATGTATTCGGCCTTCTTTTAAATCCACCGATTCTTCTAACAGTAACAGGTAAACATCTTCACGACTTTAATATGAAGACAATTGCAGCGAAGAAAATTTTCTTTTCGACGAAGTCATCATCTAGGCTGTACATTCGTGTATTTATATCAAATGGATAGGAAAGTTCCAGAATAATTTCTGGTTAGGGGTCAAATTAATAAAAATTACAATCAGGAATTAAAATGACATTTCTAACCCCAATTGCACAATGTCAATCTTCTTAGTTATTATAATGCTACTTTGTTCGAGTTTTACCCATCCCCCCTGTTTGTTATGTCATTTTAATTCCTGATTGTAATTTTTATTAATTTGACCCCTAACCGGGAATTATTCTGGAACTTTCTTATCCATTTGATATAAATACACGAATGTACAGCCTAGATGATGACTTCGTCGAAAAGAAAATTTTCTTCGCTGCAATTGTCTTTTTATTAACTCCTATGACCCAATGTGTATATTCCGTGACTTTAATATGTTCAAAACATCGTCTCATCTCGATATGGCAAAACTACAAAATAAAATAAAAACTCAAGGAGGCAATTCAGAGATATAATTCTTCAGGCTCAATATAAATGCGATTTATTATATATTATTATATACTATTAAGAGTCGGTGGCAGAGCGGTAGAGTGCTCGCCGACCACGCAGATGGTCCGGGGTTCGATCCCTGGTCGAAGCACTCCCTTACCTCGCTAAGCCAGTAGTAAGACTGGTAAAGAGGGAAGGTTGGGTATGAGGCTAGCAACCCCATCCTGTAAAACTAATCACTACTGCTACAGAAACTTCAAGCCTCTAGCTTGAAGCCCTTTGTTCCACTGGGAACGTAACGGAATAAAAAAATTATAGAATTACGGTTTAGTTGACATTTGTTCTTATCCTAAGCTGCACCCCAATTACATTACTGCTACGAGTTTCTAATTCGCACTGTATGTCAGTCAAACTTGACTGGATAGGTTATGTGAATAGCTCACTGTTGTAATCGTCACGTTCTGATTTGCTCTGATAGTAAATGTAAACATAAAAACGTGTTTGATTTTTGTTTGTAAGAATAATAAATCGCTTGTACTTGCATATATCGTTATCCTAAACGTAACTAAGATCAATAAAAGAGAGATTTTGAAACATCATACCCTCTCTGAAAATACCTACTTCTTTAATAACTAGCATGTTCATTTCTTAAGTTTAATATTTACATGAAATAAAAAGTATCCCTTTACTTTTTTCCATTTTATACAGTTGTTATGGAAACGTACTAAAACAAATGATTACTTAATTCACAATAACAGACGTCTTCATCCAGATACTCGATACATCCTGGATATGTCTTCATTCGATCAGACTATACTAGATCTACGTATTGATCGGGTTCAGAGAACCGATGAAGGTGAATATGTGTGTCTTTATTCGAATGGTCAAACAGTCTATAAACAACGTGTTTACCTCAATGTGCTAGGTAAGTTTACATGACCATTTCCTGTCGTATAAACAGTCAGAACGTTTAAAGCCCTTTTTATCTAAGTTAATCTGCGGAAGAATATGTTCTAAATATTTATCACCCTCAGCTTCAAATACTGAGCTTCCTATCTTACTATTACTACATATACTTGTAACATACTTCAAATATTTTAGTGTTTTTTTCCCCTTTACCAAACGATATCGTCAATCTGGACAAGATGTCTATCATATACCAAAGTTATTACTTCTATTCCGAAGAAGATAAATTACATTCTTTTAGTGTTATCCTGTAAATTACTGATGATCCGTAACCATTATCGATACGATTTAAGGCTATGAAAAACTTAGGCCTGAAAAGTATTTAAATTATCTGCAAAATGTTTATAAGATTAGCCACCAAATAAGGTCAACCCACCGACGAATTCAAGGAGAAATAAAAGGATAGACTAAACGCTAAATAAAGAAAGTGACTAGTTCTTTATCAGTATCAATCGTCCACATTCAAAGCAAAGAAGTACATCCTTAGATGATTAGAAAACACAATACAGTAAAGACTGTAAAGAGAGAATTCATTCCAATATAAAAATCTGCTTGATGGATCTGACGTGAAACGATATCTTATACTTTATAACAAACTGTCATTCAAGAGAAGGTGAGACGGAAAAAGAACCATTTCGATAGATCATTACTTTAATCTAAAGTGTAAAATACCTTCTAAAAGTCATTTCACTTCCTAGTCTTTTGTAATAGAATGCCTTACAGAATATTTGAAATTAAAGTAATTTATTTTAATTTTTGAGGCATCACATTGTCAACAAAAAAACTAACAAAATGAACTATCACGTCATAATATGAGTATTTCAGTGATTCATTAAAGTCTGTTAGATAACAATATAGAACTTCGCAATTCTGTTGACATTAGAAATGCTTATTTCATGGTATTACAGCGAACATCACCAACCTGAGCATAAATATACACAGAAAAGAGCATATTCAACCATCACTTGCGTATTGTGAACTAAAGTAGTTTTCCCAATAATTTAGAATAGCACTTCCACTTTTCAACTGACATATATATACATATTCTTATTCAGCGTTACTGTCAAATAAAGAATATTACTGTCGAGGAACTGGACAACATTAAAGTACTTTTTCCAAAGAAGAAAATAGAATTCATGTGAAAACATTTATTATATTAGGTATTCACTAAAAGCATAAATTATACTTTAATACAGTGATGAATTGCCATTTTAGACTTTAATTCAACTTAGCTGTGTTAAATTCTGTCTGTCTTTATCTTGATTATGTGATTAACCAATAGTGAGAGGATATCTTAAAGATATTCATACAGGGCAGCATACTACTACTATTACTACTAATGGTGAGAAATGGGCACAACTACTTTTATGAATTCATATGAAATAGTAAGGCTGCGCATCTCGTATTGTACAGGTGACTTAACTAAGTTTGTATTCATTCCAACTTCAGTAAGACAAAGTGTGAGATAATCTGTTAAGGTTTGTGAAGCCCTTACGAATGTTGATGAGTCATATAAAGAGACGACAGTGGAGTGTACTGTTGTCAAGGTAATGGGGTTCAAATGCTTTCTTTATGTCTTTTTACAGTGTGACTGGCTCTATTCAGGTAGGTAGTTACCTGCGTTCAAGTGAGAAATCGTGACCAGCGTGAGGATAGATATTCGCCACCTATAACACTGGCTAATGGTGGTGCTATATCGCAAATTGGCAGAAGCTGGAATTCACTGACTGGCCACTAGATCAGGTACCAATGGCTTGGTGGTCTTCGAGCTCGCCTTGTAACCGAATGGTCCTGAATTAGAACCCCGGCAGATGCGTACTGTTGAAGAGTCCTAAACTTGGACGAAACAGCTGTCCGGTACTCTCTAACCGATGTCAGTTCATGATGAAATCCTGTAACAACACATTTAGATCATAGGAAAAACAAAATATTGTTGTAGTAAAGAAATGTTTCTACTTTCCACTAAGTCATCAACTAGACTGGACATTCGAGATATATATATGCGTCATAGATATATATATATGTATAGATGAAATTGTAACTGCCGAACACAACTCTGTATATACAGATATGGGCAAAACATGTCTACCACACAACAGAATCACAATTTGCACACATCTTCGGTATTATGCAGTTTCCGTCTTCTGTATTGTACGTCATTATCTTACTTACATGTTTTACGAGTTGATCACGGACTGATATCAGTTAGAGAACCATTGAAAATCAGGGAGTACTGGACAGCTGCTGTTTCATCCTTGTTTGGGAATCATCGGCAGTACGCACCCACTGGGATTCGAACCCAGAACCTTCCGGTTACAAGGCAAGCTCGTATACCATTCAGCCACTGGGACCCGATTCAATGGCTCATGAATTCTAACTTCTACCAATTCGTGACTGAATGGTATACGAGCTTGCCTTGTAACCGGAAGGTCCTGGGTTCGAATCCCAGTGGGTGCGTACTGCCGATGATTCCCAAACAAGGATGAAACAGCAGCTGTCCAGTACTCCCTGATTTTCAATGGTTCTCTAACTGATATCAGTCCGTGATCAACTCGTAAAACATAACTAATCCTTACAAACCAAACTATAGAAAACTTACATGTTTCCCACTTTGTCTCACAAGCATAACTCCTTTCCACTCTTCGCCACTAAATCCATCTCTCCACTTTTCGATACGCTTACAGACGATATACATTTATATGTGTATCTATGTGCTACTTCTAAACTTTGTAAGTAGCACACACCACAAAACACAGATAAGGATAAAAATTATGAAGAAAATAAACGGAAAATTTGGATCAAAACATAATGGAATAATAATGAATTTTTCGAGAAAATAGACTGTTTAGGATTGTAAACATTTACCTCCCGATACGAATTTAAAACAAGCAATAAAGGTTAATAAAGTGGGATTTAATGAATTCATCGAATTTCAGTAGAACTCGTCAGCTGAATACTCTACATACACGGATATATATACTTTTGAAATTACATTGGGAGATATAAGACTGATAAGTAAACAAACTACATTGAATTAGTCATACAGAAAGACAGGTGCGAATGTTTTTCAGGTCATGTTCAAATATATAAGGGGAGAGAGAGTATGAGAGATCAAAATTAAGATAAATTGCATTACGCTCCAATTACATCACTTAGATAAACAATTAGTCATTAGAGAATATGACAAGAAGTGCAAACAGAGTAATATCAATAGTCATAGTTATAGGATTGTGATGATAAAGTAAAAGGTTGGACACACTTCTTTTAGACAAATAACGTTACCTTGGATTTTCGAATCGCAAGTGCTGGAACTTTCTCAACCCACTGTTTTATATTCACAAATGATCAATTTAGTTGATAATTTCATCGAAAAGAAGAATTTTTCTTCGCCACAACCGTCTTTTAGCTTTACCTGTGTCTGTTTATATGCATACTCTTGATGAATCACTGATTCAGACTTCAGTGGTCGGCATCTTTTATGTTTCACTTAAGTTGTAATGCTTATTTTACATGGTTTCAGTTAAACGGCATTAACAGATAATATCAGTAAAAAGTTTGAGCATTGTGGATTAGATCAAATAAAGTATAATTATATTTTAATAGTTTACACACAATGATAAGTTTTGTTATTGGTAATATTTCGAGCAAAATTACTGCGCGTGTTCACACCAGTGTTGGAATTGTTTGATTCACACATTTATGATTTGTACTCGTATATATAGTTCATTATTTTTGCTCATTCATATTTTTTTTCTGTATTTGAGTTGTATTCCAAGTTCATTCATGTTTTTGTATCCAGAATTATATTCCAAGTTGTTGATAGTTGTACTGAGTCACCCTTTTTACATGTATCCGGTGTGACTTTAATGAATATCGATTCTGTTATAAGTCTTTCTTTCCATTTGTTCATGTTAGTTTTTAGAATACACACATTGTCCCAATCGATATTGTGGTTTTTGTCCCATGCATGTGCAGCTATCGATGAATTTTTTCAAGATTTTTGTAGGCTTGTGTTCCTGTTGGTTGACCTTTGGTTAGGCGTTTATGTTCATTCACTCTTATTTTGAGTGATCTGGACGTTTGCCCCACATATTTAGTCGGACAGTCAGCACAAGATATTTTATAAATCAAGTTGTTTTTATCCATCATTTTTATGGGATCTTTCAGTTGATTTATTTTATTTTTGATTAGATTTGTCGGTTTAAAAGTTGTGTGAATGCCGATACTTTTGAGGTTTCTTTGAATTGCCTCTGATGTACCATTTTTATATGGTATTGTGACTGTTTTTTTGCTAATAAACTAATAAATTTGGTAACGATGTACTGAGTTCAAATCACGTCATAGAAACAAGAGACAAGCAGTATTACAGATTTTAAAAATAAAAAAGGAGGAGTGAGGTTAAAGACAAAGATTACGTAATCAGATTAGAGAATAAAGACATCCAGTTACCATGGCAAGGAAAGACTGATAACTGCTTCTTTCTGAACACAAATCTGGTTTGAAGCGTTTGATAGAAATTGCTTCGGCAAACTTGAGGAGAATTGAGCTCCTTTGTCTATTGATAATTTTGAAGGATTTCTCGATTTCCACCTCATGACCCGTGTCGAGGAGATGCCTGGCGATGGCATTGTTTAAAGAATTTGTTCCCTTTAGACGTAAGCTTTTTGGTACATGTTCAGAAAATCGTAGGTATGCCCTTCTTTCTGTCCTTCCAATGTAACTGCTCCCGCAGATGCATGTAAATTTGTATATACTGTTGGAGTTAACATGAGAAGGATACCTATTGATTTTTGATTGCACCAAAGAGCAAGTTGTTCGATAGACAGGGACGAGCTTGGCTGCAGGATAGGCTATGGCTAGTGATGTACTCAGCCTTCTGTTGATCATCGCTGCAATGTTTTCACCTTTATAATCAAGCTGAAAGTAGATTGGCTTCTTTTCCACTGTGATTTGTTTTATATTTGTGACTTCAGATCTTCCATACTTGTTGATGAACCTTAGAGGGTACCCATTGCTCTTCAATATCTTTTCGAGAAACTCAAATTATTCCTCTGATTTCCCTATAGAGCATATTCTCTTCGCTCTATAGTGCAGAGTCTTCACCAGTCCGCGTTTAAAGCTATTTGGACAAAAGCTACTAAAATGTGAGTATTGTCCTTTCCATGTGGACTTCCGATAAATTGACTTTTGAAGACTACCGTCTTCTAGGCGTTCCATGGCAATGTCGAGGAAGTGAAACTTTCCGTCATTTTCCTGTTCCATAGTGAACTCAATATTTCTGTGTGCATCATTGAATAATCCGAGTAAGTGTGAAGCATGACTTTCATTGTTGCACACTATAAATGTGTCATCAACATATCGACAGTAGGAATTGGTTTCGTCGATTGCATGCTTCAACTTTGTTCTTTCAAGGTTAGACATGAATATATCTGCTAAAACAGGGCTAAGTGGACTGCCCATAGCTACACCATCTATTTGGCGGTAAAGAGTGTTGTCAAATTGGAATTGCACATCCATGGTACACATAAGCAGTAGGCGTTTGAATTCCGACTCTGGGAGTGGGAGGAGATCAGACTGCTGACAAATGATCTCAACAGTTTCGTTGATTGGAATCATTGTGAACAAGGAGGTTACGTCAAATGACACCATGAACTTATTTAAAACGTTCATGTGGTTCACACTTTCCGAGAAATGAAATGAGTCCTTCATAGTGTGCACGCCTAGCCGTTGACGAATAGGTTCCAACTTCTCTGCAAGCCAACGTGCCATCTTGTGTTGGGGCGAGTTGATCATCGAAAGTATGGGTCTCAGGGGGACTTGTTTTTTGTGTATCTTCGGAACGCCATACATGTGTGGCAAGCGGGACCCTCGGGGTTTCAAATCATTGTACGTAGTGTTGTCAATCAATTTCTTCTTTAGCAGATCTCTCAGTGCGTTTGTGATACGTTTTTCGACTGCATCAGTCTTATCTTTCTGGCAATTGTCAACTTTGAACCTCAACGGGTCATTTAACACAGTTTTCATCTTTGCAATGTAGTCGTCTTTATCCATCAGCACCACTCCTGAGCCTTTGTCAGGTCGCAATATAACAATTCTGTCATTATTCTTGAGAGCTTTTAATGCTCTTTGATGCTCATCAGAAAGGACTTTGGAATATGACATTGGAGTAATGAGGTATTGATTTGCAACATCAACCAGCTTAGATTTGAACCAGCTCTTCTTGTCCTCATCAACTGGGGTAAGGTCATTCAGCTGATAGAAAAGGTTTTCGAATTGAGCTGCTACATCGGTTCTTTTGACAAAGTTATTCGGGATATGGAAGTTGCACAGTAGAAATTTAACACATCCTTGTATACATGAAGCTGTTTAGTCAGTTTTTGTAAGATGAATATGCGCTAATCATCGCCAATTAGAGCAAAATAACTATTAAACCACTTCACATAATTGGTAATTTCTCAAATGGTATTATTTGTTGAGGTTAGGTGTCCTAATTGTGAAGTAAATTGTTTTGTGTGAACGCCATATTTGCACTCGGCATAAGAAACGACATAAATCAAGAATTAGATCTTGAGCAGTTCTTCAATAATTACATTGTAGCCAGTCATTAATAATAAGACAGCTAAAATAATACTAATTGGAAACCAAAATTTAGCAGGGCACACTAAAATCTGAGGTGATTAACACTCACTGATGATTATTAAACTAAAAAAATACCAAGGTGATAACAATATACACAAACAGATGAGACTCTTGTTTACCTTCCAAAGAAGAGTAAGTCTTTTTTACATTCATTCAAGTATCTATATATCAATTTTCATTTTCTTATCTCTGAATGTGCTGACAACTCCTACTAGTATACTTAGATATGAGTATAGACTTCAAGTTAATTAAATTTCATTTTATTTTCACAGCAGTCTAAGAAACATCATTATCTACCACGTACAATTTTTCACTTTTCTCTTGTTTCCCACAGTACCTCCAGTTATATCTGAAAATAGTTCCAGTTCTACACGAGTAATTGCACATGAAGGTGAAGCAGTTGTCTTACAATGTAAAGCTTGGGGTGTACCAGAACCGATCATCACGTGGTATTTAACGCCGAAAGAGGGACGTCAATATCGAATATATGAAGCGACAGATAAAAGTAAGATAACAAGTAATTAATATAGTGTACAGTCTTATAATATTTACCTTATACTATGTTTAAATTAATCAGCATTTCTTTTCTTTATCTGGAGAAAGACAACATCATACTGTTTCAATAATTTAATGGTGATATCTAAACTAATCCCTTGAATAAGAAGTAGTAGCGCTTTTTTTCCTTCACGTTCCCCAGTGGAACATAGGGCTTCAAGCTAATGGCTTGAAGTTTCTGTAGCAGTGTTTATTTTACAAGATGGGATTGCTAGCCTCATGCCCAACCTTTCCTCTTTACCACCATTATTTCTGGCTCAGCGAGGTAAAGGAGTGAGTCGGCCGGGAATCGAACCCCGGACCATATGCATGATCGGCGAGCGTCCTAACCGCCATACCACCGACGCACAGTAGCACTTTAACTGTAATTTATTCAAATAATTTAAAGGTCCTCTCAATTTCCAGCCTATTAGCTATGACGCTAAGTCAAGGAAGGATATATTCCAGACTTAAAATCGTTTTTGTCAGGTACAAGGGAGAATTTTAGAAAATACTTCATATTGGTAGAGTAATCGGTGTACTTCATAAACGTTTTTATCCCACCGGGTTGAAGAGGTTTAATGTGAGTAACCTACTCATGGATAGTGGCAAGTTATAGAATCCAAGACTCGTTTTCGTTATACCTAGGACCACCCAGATAGATGTACCAGAAACCAAGTAAGCGTTAGTGTTGTTGTGTTCACTGAGCCTGGTAGTTTAGTTTCGGGGCACTCAGAATCCTTCTAGATATCTTCGGTGCCAACTTCAAATCAGGCGTTAATATCTCGAAAGGAAAGTTATCATCTATTAGTCTACTAATGAATAATTTTCTGAAGAATGGATACTGAACTAAGAATACTCTTCTCGATAACTTCATCATCAGGCCCTCAACAGTTATATATACATTAAAGTGAATGAATGAATTAGTGTTATGAACAACATTAATATTTAAATAACATAGAATCAATAATATCAACAGATTACAGTTCAACAGAATCAACATAACAGTAAGCTGAATGTCAGAAAAATTAGGAAAGATAATATTACAAATTCATGAATTTATAGTCTCTACTGAAGGCCGGCCAGAGCAGTAGTAGGGGCTGTTTGAGGCGAACTGCAATAGCCTCTGCTGTTTGGAGCATGCTGTGCTTTTCTGTTTGTTTATAGTGAACAAAAACGGTTTACCGGCATTTTACGGACGCGTCGACTATGCAGTGTTTAACTTGTAAGCCATTGAATAAACCACATTATCCTGCTTAATGTGTCTAAATGTTCTTACACTGCATACAAATGAATCAGATAACCTCGGTTAAATAATAAACTTATTCTAAATTTGTTAGAAACCTCAGATGGATCTATTTAAGTTCATTCATTATGTGACAACATCAAATGGACTTTAAACTCTCTATTAAATGTACTAACGTTCCTACTGATGTCTTTTTTATGTACAGAGTACAAAAATTACGTAGGACAGTTACGTAGTGTTATAACACTGCTAAGATTGACTTACACACTATCATGCACCACAGTTGGATATCTGCACACCTCTATACAACAATGTTTACTGACTGAAAATTTGTGTAAAACAAAATCACAGCAGACTCATATATTATTAAAACTGAAGTTTATAGTACAACTACATTCAAGTATTGAATTTCAATGTTTGTAGAAAAATAGTTCAAACCTCTAGAATCAAATCGTACTTTTAGCAGATCTGGACTTTGATTCCATAAACAAAGATGTTAATAAACCAATACACTGAAATAAAGGTACAAATTATCAATCTGAAAGAAATATATATCACAAGTGGTATTCTTAATCAACCTATTTCATGATTACGTGGGTGTGTCTGTGTATATGAGTTAGCAGCATTACACTAGTGAACTATTTATCTACATTAATCAATCTATCTAATATAGTTCGATGGTAGGTTTATTTTCCTAAACTGTAATCAACTGAAACCAGCCTAAACGGTTTGTCATACAGAAAAGAAATAAGCATTATTGATTACTATTTTCTAAGTTACACTATTGGTATTTGATTTATCGGTTGTCGACTAATACATGCAAAAACAAAACAAAAAGCACCTCTAATAAAATTGGTGGTTATTGATGCTTATAAGATAACTGAATAAAGGTCCACATTTTAAGTTAACAGCCTCCTTTCCTGATGAAATAAAACTCAACTTATCAAACCTTTCTTTCTTCTTTCTCCTCAGTAGTATAGAGACATTACTCGATTAATAGTCTGTTACCTTGCTTTGTTCAGCTTCTGTCTCCTAATTTGTTCCATAGCAGCTAGAATAAATGTCAAATCCAGTACTGTGCATTAATCCGCTGGATCAAACGACTGGATTCAATAAGAGATGTATTGACTTACCGTAAATATAATTTAGAACAACAAATTTAAGCGAACAATACTGTTTTCAATTAGATCTCATCAGGCTTAACTCTAATATAGAAAACTTGACAAATAAAAATTCAAATATAAGCCAATCATGGTGTTTTGTCTATAGGATAATAAGATGGTGCATATCAGTTATGCAATTAGCCATAATAGTAGTAACCGGAAGGTCTTGGGTTCGAACCCCAGTGAGTGTGTACTGCTGGCGATTCCCAAACTAAGATGAAACAGTTTTCCAGTACTCCCTGGCTTTCAATGGTTCTCTAACTAATATCAACCCGTGATCAACTCGTAGAAGCAAAACTAATCCTTACAAACCAACTATAGAAAAATAATGGTTGTATCAATAATAAGGATGAAAAAGTGAAGCGATCTGTGATAACAAGAATAACGAGAACACAGCATGATTAAACAAACAAATGTTCAGGTTGAAGTAGTCGATAAAGGCTAAGAAAAACAAGCGAACCGATTACGTAATGCTAGATTGTAAGGGGAGTAAATGAAATACGTTTTAAATGAAGATGTGATAAGATTAAGTGATGATAAGAGAGGGGTTGGAAATATAAGTAAGGGGTGATCGAGAAGTCATCATTTGGTTATGTATTAATAGGTCAAGGGAGGGATAACGGCTGTACGAACTTCTTTTGAATGCATAGTTTGGGTTTAATAGTTCGAATGCCCGTCGCCTCAGCTGTATGTAGTTGACGAATACGCAGTCTATTGGAAAGATTCGGTGAGATACTATGAATTACCTAGAAAGCTCTCGTTTTCTCCACTACATGACCACTATCAACTAAATGTGACAAAACTGAGCAGCGGATTGTTTTGTCTATCCTTTGCTGGATAAAAGCGATTATGATGAGAAAACGGAAGGTATTTGAGTAATCAAACTAAATTCCAATCTCTTGGTAGTTCCAAAAACCGTAATGTAAAAGCGGAGAAACTAATTACCGACTCTCGAAAAAAACTGAACCAAAAAGGAGTGTTATCATCAGCCATATCTGAGTCAACGAGTCTAATTCATAGTATCTCAGCAGCACACACCCACTGGGTTTCGAAGCCAGGACCTTCCGGTTACTACTATTATGACTAATTGCACAATTTATATGCACCACTATCTTATTATCCTATAGACAAAACACCATGATTGGTTTATATTTGAATTTTTATTTGTAAAGTTATCTATATTAGAGTTAAGCCTGATGAGATCTAATTGAAAACAATATTGTTCGCTTAAATGTGTTTTACTAAATTTTACTTTGGAAAAATATTTAATATTTTGAAAAATATAGCTAGCAAGGTTAACTAAAGGCGTGCAGCGCCAAGATAGGTTTTTTAGGTATAATAAGAAACTAAATGAACTAGAATTTAGACTTGATCAATGTAACAATGTATATTAATAACCCAGTAAAATACCGGATACCTTTAACCGTCAAACGAAGCTATATATATATATATATATATATATATATATATATATGAATTCAGATGCCATGAAGTGCTCGAGTCAAAATAGTTAACCTAATCAACTATTATTAATAAGAATATTTATTTCATTTCAAATGACAGGCTTTCATACATGGAAGTATCAACTATCATAATGCAGTCATCGATACAATTAAAAGACAAATTAAAACTACCGAACACCCACTGATTATACTGGAATCCAAGGATAGTTATAATAGTCATTAGAACTAAATAATAATATCAACATAAAGCGTACAGAAAATCGTTGAATTTTTCAGCTTTCAAACCTATATCCATTGATACCATAGTCAGATACACTTACCGAAATCCTTGGAACTGCCTGCTTAAACAAGAAATCTGCTATATCAGTGTCAAAAATCAATGCATTGCTATAGTCATTCACCCTGTTTAATATACATCTGCTATACGAAGTAACATCTGAGATAAGAAGTCAGCTGACGTTTAAAAGTCTACCCAACTACTTTGTGAAGTAGTACCAGTTATTAGAAATTTCTCTGAAGGCCAGAATTTTCCTCTTTGTTGCTGATCATTATCACTGATTGTAACGCCCTATTGTAGAACGCCTTTTCATTTCTTTTCTGATGTCTAAATTCAGAAGCTATATATATATATATTACTATGCTTCCCAAAAAATTGTATTTCGAAGCATTGTAGTGTGGCTGAAATAGAAATAAAAGATTCGATAGCATCAAAACTCGAGGTAAAGGCCTCCAATTCGCTGCTTTACGGCTCTACAAATCGAGCTACGAAATCAAAGTACTCAAGAAACTGTAACTTCCATCTAATCACCAGTCATTAAGGAGTCCGTCATGTGAACTAGAGTCAAATGCCCTTTTCTTTTTCATTACTACATTGTATTGATTCATTTTGGCTAATATGAGCTTGAACTCGTTGAGGCGACTATTACACATGCATTAAACTTTGTTAAGGATAATAAAAGTGGTCTGGCAAATACATGCATGATTCGTTAAAGAACTTAAATGTATAAAGACCATCTTTCTGAGTCAATGAGATATTGCTTCACTTTCCAAATCGCATTTCGTTTTCCTCCAAGAAGGACAGCAGTAATAATAGGCATTGTCTTGCATTTTCACTAAAGCCTACTGTTGGTATTTTTCTAATACAGTTATGTTATACATGTGAACATTCCACCTTGAGGATTCAAGCTTCAATTATCAAACTCAATTTTAGTTGGACAGAATATATGAAGAAAGTTCTAAATGTCACTAATTCAGAACGTCACATAAACAACTTTAAACTCCTTTATGATATTCACATACATCTTGTAGTTAATCAGCATTCTTTGAAGTTTTATAAAAAAACAAATCTGATACGTCTAATTCCTATGATACCTTCAATTACCTAGACTATAACTATGTTATAAAGTCAGACTGAGAATCTTTTAAATGGATTCGTAGGGTTTTGAGGTGGTTCGGTGGTAGAATGTTCGCCAACCACACATGTTGCCCGGGATCCGATCCTCGGCCAACTCACTCTTAAACCTCTCAAAGCCAGTAGTAAGGCCGACAAATAAGAAAGGCTAGGCATAGGGCTAGCAATCCTACTCCGTAAAAATAAAACTGCTGCTACGGAAACTTAAAACCTCAATCTTTAAGCCATATATTCCACTCGGAACGGGTAATGAATCATTCCTAGTGCATGTACTCTCAGTCGATTCAACAGATAGAGCTTCCGTTATTATTCTCTCCCTTCATCCTATAGTATATAACTGAATGCAGTGCGATGGCTGGACTTGGAAAGCAATAAACTGTGTTCGGAACGTCATCCAGTATATAATAATGTTTCACTGTGTGATACATCCAGTTTTTTTTATTCCTTCAAGTTCCCAGTGGAACATAGGGCTTTCAGCTAGAGGCTTGAAGTTTCTGTAGCAGTGTTTATTTTTACTGGATGGGGTTGCTAGCCTCATACCCAACCTTCCCTCTTTACCAGTCTTACTACTCGCTTAGCGAAGTAAAGGAGTGAGTCGGTGGTAGGGGATCGAACCCCGGACCATGTACATGGTTATATCCAGTACACAAATCAATATGGAATCCCATATTACTTGATATTTAACAAATTTCATACAAGACAAAATATCGCTTTTTCGTGACGGAAGTAGTGCTATTTCCGAGACCTGTGTTCTGAGGAATCATTAAGGCATGTGTACAGATTGCATACGTGTAGTTACAGCACAAAAATTACCACAGTGTATTGTGTCGACTAGAAATATAACTCAGAGAACAATTCAGCATGAAATGAAACATCCTAAGTGGTAACTATTCTTCGATATTTCGAAAATATGCATGTCACCATCAAATGTCTTATTAGGTTACTTTTTTTTCCTTCACGTTCCCCAGTGGAACATAGGGCTTCAAGCTAGAGGCTTGAAGTTTCTGTAGCAGTGTTTATTTTACAGGATGGGGTTGCTAGCCTCATGCCCAACCTTTCCTCTTCACCAGCATTATTTCTGGACTGGCGAAGTAAAGGAGTGCGTCAGTGTCCGGGGATCGAACCCCGGACCCTGTGCATGGTCCTAACCGCTATGCCACGAAATTTGAAATGGGACTGATAAATCTCTTAATTCGAAACTTATCTGTGGAATATTCCCCTTGAAAATCCCCCTTTTCCCTTACCTATTCACCCCCAATATCACTTGATAACTAGAAATTATGGAAAGTAAAAGGTTTGTGCAAACATCCTATAATCATTTGCCAACTACAATATTCGTTTGATATTCATTACTTGTATGCTTTAAATCACTTCTCATTTTTTTATTATGAACACAGCGCTACAACTGATAAACCAAGTTTAGTTTATCTTAATGTACTGATGTATAATTAATCAAACTATTTAGCACAAATGATACTTGAATTATTTATACCAATGATGACAGTTATAGTTTTTCTGCATGAATTATTAATATCCACTGAATAGCCTAAAAAGCTGGCAGGCTTTTTACAATTTTCACATTAATCTGAACATTTTGCAGTCATAAAGATGTGATAAGCTAAATTTATTGAGAATATTAAGTGTAACAACTGTGTCTACTCATGAGTAATATAAAAGTATGCCTTCATTTTTTACTGCATGTTCACAGGATTTACAATTAAACCAAATCAGCTAATAATTTCGAATATCACCCGTGATTTACACGGAACTTACAAGTGTCTGGCACAAAATGGACTAGAACAGAATGCATGGCGTGTTATCGACATTGATGTTCGCTGTAAGTCATGCTCGCATTTTGTTTGCTTACATGAATGACGGAATCAAAGTACTCAGGTAGTCTCTAATAAAAATTTAATTCCTAATAATCTGAGTTGTGACTTTGTAAGACAGTACTTATAGAAAGCTTGCATCATTTCCAAGGGGAATCAACAGAGGGCGATTAAAGCTAACTGTCATACTGATTGCATTAGTAACAATGAGAGCTTAGACGTAAAAAAATGATTTGAGTAAAGCTATACAATTTCAGTGGCTACAGTAACAAGAATAACGACTATGGGAAAGTCGCACTTGTGTAATACATTTAAACAAGGTCTCATACCTACCATAGATGGAGTCCGATCTATTTTGGTGCCTTTTGGATAGACTTTTATCAAACTTCAATATTCTAATAGATGTTACTTTTTGGTTCTAACATTTAATTTATCACTATGTCAATTAACTTATTAATGAATTCAAATGAATATTTGCATAGATTTCCTTTATTTACTTGAAATACACGATGTAAAACCATTTTATGATCATATATGCCTGTCAGTTTATCGACACACTTTTAATTTTCCAGATCCGCCCACAATCGAAATGGCTAATCTCAAACTCGGACAATTACTTAGAGGTACTACTATGGTACGTGCTGTGATTGCCGGTAATCCAATCAATCTGTTCTACTGGGAATTTGAAGGGCGGCCAATACATGGACCTAATAGTAACTGTCTTATACCATTGCCGAATGAAAAGTATTGTATTCTTATTGGTAAGCAAAAATAAAGTAACAAGATTGTGATTTTTATATAATATAAATTAGCTACGTATTCTTTTAGTTGAAAAATTGCTCAGGCCGTAAATGGCTGTCTTGTGATGGTAAGTAAGGCAGGCTATAAGCCCAGTACCACCAACCAGGAGATATGTGAGGCATTAAGGAAATTCGTTGTGTAAGGAAGATTTTCAAAAGTCATTTCAACATTCAGCTCTATTACACGTATCAAACCAGAGTAGCCCAACTGCTAAGTAAGACAATAGACATTTTTAAAGGTTATTTTACTGTGTAATTACAAAACTAAATTCAAAATATAAAAAAGATCGAAAATATCGGCATTATGTTCTAGTGTAACATCAATGGTGTGAGATTAACTTTTCTCACTGACCCACACCACAGAACGGTAACAATAGTGAGATAGCCAAGAAACGGTTGAAATCAATGTTCACAATTCATGTTTACCGAAAAGCTTAACACAATTCGACTATTATAGATTTGCACTCTTAAAATTGAGATTAGTAATATATACTGGCTCAATCTTAATCCATAATAATCAAAGAAAATTTGACAAAATAGGTTAATCCGACCCTGCGTACTGTTGTTTTCACACCAAAACATCCATAATCACACTTCTTTCGAACATAAAGTTGGACACAGAATAATTCAAACATCGATAGTTGTATATCAATATTAAAAATAAATTTGCTAAAATCCAGTTACAAATCAGTTATGAAGAGGTCATTTAAAAGAGGATAGTAAATATTTTCTCCTAAATTATAACTACCAGAGACGAAAACACATAAAACTGGATACCAAATGACTAACTGACGTCTAGAACAGAAGAAATTCAGGAAACTGAAAGACGGATGAATATTTTTTGTGGATAATTTAGTTTTGTGTTATCATTTGTAGTTACGTATGCATTCATATACACATGTGTGAATTATATATATATATATATATATATATATATATATATCCACTTATTTACTATCATGTTTACATTTGTGTTTACATGATTTCGTATATTTGGTGATTATGTTTATTGAACTAAAGCGCGTTTTTATACACACATGACAAACATAAGCACTTGACCTAAAGGTAATTAACTTAGTGAATATAACTGTATAAATTTTCACTTATTTTTGTATACAATATTTATAATAAACACCAAATGCTCTAATATATTTGTGCTTTCTATTCATAGATAACTGTCTCTAGAGTGATAATTGTTATAAATAACAGAATGGTCGCGAGAACTGTCAGACCTTTGAATATACACCGACCATGTAGTTCAGTGGTTAGATAGTTGTTTACTTTAAGTGAAATATGGTAACCCTGAGTTAGAATGAGGCATGATGTACTGAACGCTCAGAAATCCTATTTTAGTATACTGTTACTAAGTCTTTCTTGTTTCCCTTAGAGGATTTAATCCTTAATGTAATTTATTTTGAAACAAACTGAATTTCATAAAGTCCCTCAAAGGAATAGTACCCCTTGACTAATAGAGGAAGTATCAGTTTGAATGCTGACAGAATCAGTTGTATGTAATAGACAAATAAGGAATCCACTTGAACGACTCTATGGAATACGATAAATCACTGTAAATGCTTCCGTTTTGTCCACTTAAGTAACTGCTCTCAATCAGATAGGATAAAACGAAGCTTTTGATAGTTCTTACTGACCCCTGTCCCAGCCATGATTGCAGGCTGTCAAATATCCAGATAGCAAAGATCCTGAACCTATCGCTGGTTTCAGAAAACTAAGCCTAATACGCATAATACTATGCACCACAACCTACACAGAACAAAAGAAAACGTTTGGGTAATAAGATCGTTTATTCTTTAGCCGATAACGAAACAGATTTACAATTGTTACTCAGTGCCAAAGTCTGTAAATTAACGTAAATATGATGTATAACAATACTTCTGATCGTATTTCTCCAATCTTCTGCCAACCAGTACACGATTAATCAATGATAGCCTTCTTGTCTCCCGCCAGTATGGAGACCAGTTCGAACAAACAAACGATTCAGTGTTCACCAGCACTGACAGAGACACTTTGCAGAACATTGGCTAGGCTAATTAGTTGTGCGCCTGATATAACTGTATCCACAAGAGCGGCTGAATCAATAAATGCACATGAACCATTCCAACTTGTCAAGTTGAAAATGACAGACAAAGACTTGCCGCGTGGAATATCCTCCTCACTGTTGTCAGTCTCAGAAACAAAACTTAACTTGATAAATTACAATCAAATAGTGCCTTAATAAGTATCAGTTTCTTCCACAATATCACTGTTTCTGGTCTCCTTACGGTTTTTTTATAAAACTAAGCAGCTGTTCCGTTTTAATCAAGGAATGATGCATTTAGATGTATTAAGATTCCTTTGGAAAGGATCTCTCTTGTTCTGCTCTCAAAGAATGTGACAAAAACTCTTCTACAACAAATAGGTACATAAATATACAAGTCTGTGTACTGATCTGTGAGTGTGTAATTCATATACACACTTCCACCAAGTGATCCATCCGTCTTCACAACTTCTTATCAGCACATCAAGGAAGTACTGTGTCCTGATGCTCTTCTTTACTAATGAAAGCAAGAGACGGTTTTATGTTATTAAACTTCACCAGTAATTCATTCATATCAATCCTCTTATCAGTAATGATGTGCCTTTGACACAGAGGTAATACATATCATATCCACTAATGACGTCCCTCAGTGGTCGGTTTCCACTTTTCGTTAGAAAGAAATCTCCAAGAATTTTGTCTTTTGGTGAACCCTTAGCAATTCTGTTTATATGTGTATAATGTGTGCTGTTAGGTCGAAACGTACATTATGTGAAGATCTGAGGTATAACCCCTTGAGGCTAGGCTCAGGCATTACATTGTCAGTCCTCTTATTATTGATTTTCTGACATGTAAAATCAGCTGCTTCTATATCATGAGCTTTTCATTCACATTCGTCCACATACCTTGAATATTAAATCAAAGGTGCCCTTTCTTATCATAATTCACAATCTGCTTACTCATGGGTTTTTAAGTTGGAATATATAATGATAAAGTTCTATGGTATGAGTAACTGTGAATATCTGGAACCGAACTAGAAGGATTTTCTGGTTTGTATTATTATTGTTATTGGTTCCTTCACGTTCCCAGTGGAACATAGGGCTTCAAGCTAGTGGCTTGAAGTTTCTATAGCAGTGTTTATTTTTACAGGATAGGGTTGCTAACCTCATGCCCAACCTTTCCGCTTCACCAACTTTATTTCTGGTTTAGCGAGGTAAAGGAGTGAGTCAGTGGCCGATGATTGAACCCTGGACCATGTGCATGGTCGGCAAGCGTTCTAACCGCTGTGCCACCGACTCACTTTCTGGTTTGTACACTTTAGGAAAACCATATACTCATGACTTATCACTCCTTACTGGTTTCATTGAGTCAGACATGGTTGCTGAAATTACTACTATCAGATGTAACTATTTGTTCAGCTTTACCATTTAAATCTTTGAAATTATCAGGAGATCAGAATTTAGTTTGACCATTTGGAGCAGCCATCATTTTTTCGATGTAGTCCATTTTATCCAACAACGTCATATCTCCACCTCTTTTCAGCTCTTCTATAATAAGAATTTCACCTCTTCTAGGTTTATCTAAAGCTTTCCTAAACTGTCTGATCAACAGACACCATTAATAGAAAGCCAACTGTTTACCTACTTTTGACAGATGTTCAGTAGAGTAGATTTACACTTCGTCGCTTCACCAGATGATGAAATGAGATAAGCGTTTTTAATAGAAATTCTGAAACCGGATATGCGTCTCCAGTTGACTTATTTTCAATTCGCATTTGCCGAATTAAAAACCATGAGATAGCACTTATTTCCTGACAACTTATAGTTGTTTCTCCTGTAAAATGTTTAAATTACAAATCAACACATTTTTAAAATATAATGTTCACAAAAACTGACTTTTTGTGAATGTGAGTATTATGGCTTTCATACCACTGAAGCCTATGAAGACTGTTATAACGACGGCTTTGATTTTATCAGTCTGTAAGCTGTGCGTCTGTTGTCCACTTATAGAATACTTACCGACCAAGCGGTAGATCCAAGTTTGACTCCCAGCTGACTCACTGGTAAAAGTCATACTAGTCAGTAATAAGCGTGACGAATAGGGAAAGTCGGAAGTGAGGTTATCCACCTTGCAAAAGAAACACTATGGCTACTGAAACTTCAAAAGCCTTAAACCCTGTATTTCACTAGGAAAGCAGGCGATGAAATCTATCAGCCATATTATATGACAGGACCTTGAACAGCGTATTGAAGGAATATGGCTAGTCTCTCTAGAATCGGTTATAATACCAAAATGTATGTCACATAAAGTTAAGAAAAACGTTATCTTCACAATGATTTCATCTGAAAGCTAAACAACTGTGTCATTATAAGTTATAAAATATTGAACTATTGCTACTCATTCAACAGTTTTACAATGAATAACGACATATGAATGTACTTTGTTTAAAATTACTTACTGTATCATTGATTGGCTGCTGGGTTTGCGAAGAAATAGATTATTTCACACGTATGTATTACATAAAATCACTACCTTCCACGAAAGGGTGTTTAGCTCTGTCTTTAATCTGATACAGTGTCAGGCCTATATGACATAACCACTTCAATTAACCTAGATACTCAATTGTGACTTGCACGATTTGGTGTTAAAGTTATTGATGCACAAATAAATTTAACAGAGAATATGGGTATACTCAAGGTTGCTTGGTGCTAACGCCAAGGAATGCAACCCCAAGACTGACTAATGACTGATACCATAAACTAACAGGTTTTCCAAAAGAAGCAGACAACCCTTTTCTCCTAAAATTACCCAACCGTTATTTTTTCCTTTAGACTTGCAGAATTCAACATTTATTTCTTTGAAATTGTAAAAATGATAATAATCAACCCCTACTTATCTCCTACCTTCTAAGATTTCTCTAATTTTTTCTTCTTTCAGACAAAGCTAATTCTAAACATGGAATAATCAGAACAACCCTGTTCATAGCTAATTTGACGACAGCTAACTATGGTTATTACACATGTGTTGTCGAGTCACCATTTGGTACATTTCGAAATAGTACAGAAGTATTCAGTAAGTCCTTATTAGTAAAAACCCAAGTCTTCTCTTTCTCACTAATTTTCATGTTTTCAAAATGCTATCTTTGAATAGTAGCTTCTTATATAAGGTAAGTTAGATAGAGAAGGAGTTCTTTTATTCACTAGACTTGAGAAACCGTGACATTTGAGATGACAAACTTCAGTTCGCACCTCTTTTCGTCCAATTCACGGATTGTATATTTCATAAAAATCCTCAATTTCTAAACTCATCTACTTTTATATATGTCCAAACCAAGTTCACTTTTAACAGTTTGAAAAAATGTGGGCATTGGGTATATGATATTCATTATAATAAAGGTTTTCTTGTATTTCCCAATGAATGAAAAACAAAACGATATTGTTGTTTTTACTGACGTTTCGCTATTTAATGCTGCTAATAGCTTTATCAAAGTATTATTAAACCAGAATTTACAAAATCCACTCAGCTCATATATAACAACTTAATCATCGTTCCTCAGTATGGGGTAATTTTTCGTTGTCAAATTGGCCAATTGGTAAAGATAACAAAACTAGGCGTAGATTGTTGGATAAGTAATTTGATAAACAATTTCATTATGTAAACACACGCTATTTTTATAATTTTACACATTTATCAAATCCAACAATCTACACCTAGTTTTGTTATCTTTACCAATTGGCCAATTTGACAACGAAAAATTACCCCATACTGAGGAATGATGATTAAGTTGTTATATATGAGCTGAGTGGATTTTGTAAATTCTGGTTCAGTAATACTTTGATAAAGCTATTAGCAACATTAAATAGCGAAACGTTAGTAAAAATAACAATATCGTTTTGTTTTTCATTCATTGGGAAATACAAGAAAACCTTAATTATAAGGTATCATCTACTTTTAGTCAGTTTTACTTCGAGATATGATACACTACATATTATACATTATATCTAGTTTAAAGGATGTCATAGGTTACAGTGTCACATGTATTCAAGAAAATCAACGAAGTCAGGTGGTGTTTTCGTAAACTGAAGTCGCAGGTTAGTAAATTTCAGGTACTAAACTCATGTAAAGAGGATGAAATATCAATTTTCTATGCAATTTACGTCTAAGAAAGGAGGTAAACAGATTCAATTTTGACGCAAAAATGAGATTTTACTTACTATTCACTAAAATTCGTCATCAAACTAGGTGACTTTGTTGACACGTACTTTCAAAAAAGAAGAGTTTTGCCAGTTCATTAAAATGTTTATATAAAGTACTTTGAGAATTGTTGAATTAAGATTGACAGTGATATTGCTGTTACTCGCCCACCTATGTAACCTTAGTTTTTATGAGGTCACAATGCTAAAACCAAATGTTTGTTTTTTATTAATCTTATCTTAATTATTGATTCTAGTGGCTAATTTTGTGGTGTTCTTTTAATGTGTTAAAAGCTCTCGGCAATACTTGTTGCCTAAATTTATAATTATACACACTTTTATGGCTTTTTAATCTACTCACCACCCCACGTTTTTTCATACTGTCTGAGCTAAATTTTTTCGTGTTCATCGAAGTCAATGAGTTAACTATCGTGTCATCCAATTTGCGATGAGGACGCAAACATCTTTTACCTCTTTTCCAAGGGATTATACAACTAGAGTTTGGAAATTACAGTACTGATAGTTTTATTACTTCAGTACTCTGCGATATTTTTACGGAAAATTTGGAATTCCATTCATGGGTTACTTTGGGTATTGTTACACAAGTGAGATAAGCATACTGCAAACAAGCACGTTTGGACCATATCTTTTAAGCTAGAAAATATTTAGATCTACAGTTTGTTAACTTGTTCTTCATCGTTTTACTATTTCACCTTCTAAAATATGAGCTGTTGCTTTCGATTTCAGAGTGTCTTCTCTTGGTGTGTTAGCCGTTGAGATTTCGTAGGCCTAACCATCATAATTTACGCCTAAACTGAGCCAAACTACTCATACATTTGAACTTTGATATTAGCTATGTTTAGCTAAAGTACATCTCTGGTCTTCAGAGCAGATCGATTTCTCCTGATCACTGCAGTTGGTGATTATTTTTTTTGGTATTCAAAGTTTCTTTCTAAGATTATTTAGTTAACTTGTGTCATAATGACTGCATGAAAATTTATCCGATTCAATTGAGCCTGATGTTGACATACTCATATAATTTCAGTCCTGATCCTCATTTCGCATGGTGACTTCGAGGAATTTTACCATTTCTCTTTAGCAACATTCACTTATCTAGGGAGCATTGTCTCAACTACAGGAGAAACGGACGAGGATGTCAATTCGAGAATCTGGAAGGCGAGAAACACATTCATCAACCTGAAACCAATCTGGAAATCTTCGTCACTCACAGCATCAACAACAAAATTCGGATTTTCAATACAAACGTCAAGTCAGTCAGTTCTTCTATACGGATCAGAAACTTGGCGGCGGGTCACAAAGAATATTTCCAACAGCCTGTTGCAGACCTTCATCAACAACTGTCTTCGTTCTATACTGAAGATCAGATGGCCGGAAAGAATCACCAACAAGGAACTATGGGAACAAACAAAACAAGAACCAATCGCCCAACAAATATGCAGGAGAAAGTGGAGATGGATTGGACACTCGCTGAGGAGGGTGCATGGGGTGACATCGCGTGTCAGGCCATCGCTCGAGTGGAACCCGAAAGGGAAGCGGCGAGTGGGACGTCCAAGTGTGACATGGAGGAGATCGTGTGAAGAGGAGTTGAAACAGTATGGATTAACATGGATGCAGGTGAAAAGTACAGCAGAAGAGAGAAGCAAGTGGAGACGTGTAGTTGAAGCCCTATGTTCCACTAGGAACCCAAGGGAACAATAACAATAATAATATAACATCAAAAGTCCTGGGTATTCTCAGCAGAAATGTTGTCTTTTTAGGATAATAGTTAAAATCATCAGCTTGCTTAATGGCAACCCCACCCTTTTTAACTGATTTACAAGTGGTTTGCGAGTCAGTTTTTCTATACGGTCGTCTAAACCGTGAAAATGTCATCCAAATGACTGCACATCATCCTAACGTGCAAGAAAGGACATTTTAATTTCTCGAAAGACTTATAATTTGTTAGCAAATTTCTGTTAAGATTTAAATCCACTTATTGATTTTCCCTAATTTTAATTTTCATTCATTATACTAAAATAAACTAGTCATTATGTTTTTGACAGGCTGGTATATGCATTAACTGATCGTCTCTTAAGACCATCTGTGTATCATTTTGAAAAGGAGTGAAAAACCGGCATAACTTTCGAATCTATTTTTAAAAGCTTTACTGATTTGAATACCACGGAACGATACAAAGTGATCAGGATTTTTAATTATCCTCTACTATTTGGTCAAGAGTGCGTCGGTGACACAGCGGTAGAATGCTCGCCAACCACACATGTGGTCAGGAGTTCGATCCCCGGCCACCAACGCACTCCTTTACCTCGCTAAGCCAGTAATACTACTGGTAAAGAGGGAAGGTTGGGCATGAAGCTAGCAACCCCATCCCGTAAAAAATAAACACCACTACTACCGAAACTTCGAGCCTCTAGCTTGAAGCCCCATGTTCCACTGAGAACTTAAAGGAATCAAAACAATAGTTGGTCAAAATATGTTCCATTTAAGTAATACTCTAAAAGATTCGATAAGAAATGAGATGCACTGGGTAAATATAGGACGCAAGTTAGTTCATAGGTATTATATATTTGTCCAGGGAAACAATAAAATAAATAATGAAATAATAATGCCAATGTCTGTTATATTATCTGGCGGTCATGTTGTTTATCTTAACATTGTTCTATAAGTAATTAAAACTGTCTGCAGGCCACTCATGGTAGTTAATGTGAAAAAAGGACTACCTTATGTGAAATCAAACCTTCCGGTTTAATTATATCAAAACGGCGCTCAATGTGAACATAATACACATGTTAATAAATGTGAAATTCACAATCAAATGTTGATTATGAATAATGCAAATCTGAATAGTGAGTTTGTAGAATTCTGATTAGTTCTAAAGTAAATTTTGCCATAATTTGACATTAGTTAGAAAACCGTATATGTTTACTCTTATGTAACGTAGTATATATATATATTAACTGGTCAATAGGGAGTAACCAGTGTCACGGGCCTAGTCCCAGCTGTTGTTTCTGACTAAATTCCATCAGATTACAGGATTTATGGGGAGTTGAAATTATTTCATCTGTTAGATTTCTTCACAAGACAACATCAGTTAGACAGATCATTCAAAAGCAGGGAGGACTGGACGGCTGTTTCATCCCATTTTGGGACTCTTCGCAGTGCGCACTCACGACTCCAACAATGATCGAACCCGGGACCTTCAGGATACGAAAACGAGCTCGTTGACCATTTAGCCGCTTGGGTCGAAATTCAACGGCCCGTGAATTCCAACTCTGTCAGTTAGCAATTTAGAGCTACCCTCACCAGTGCCTTCTATGAGCATCCACTTCACCTCAACATGGTGACACTGGTCACAACTTCTCACTAGGGTGGATGTTCATCGAAGGTACTCGTGAGGATAGTTCTATATCACGAGTGGCAAGTTTAGAATTCACATGTCACTGAATTCCAGCCTAAGTGGCTGAATAGTCAACGAGTTTGGTCTCGTGACCTGAAGCTCTCATGTTTAATCTTTAGTGGGGTCGTTGGTCTGCATCGCTAAAGAGTCCCAAAATAGGACGAAACAGATGTATAGTCCTCCCTGGTTTCCAATGACCTCTCTAACTGATGTTTCGTGAAGAAATCTAATAGTTTAAATTCTATCAGTTAAGTTTGTGATGTGGTTAACAAGCTAGATGACTCGTTATCGCAGTGAACTTTGAAACGATATTAGATCGTTGGAGGCAACCGGCACTCATCATCTGGGAGTATCTGCAACTTCCATGGTGACTTATCAGTGTATCCATTACAGTCCTATAGTAGATCAACCATGAGGCCGAATAACTTAATGATAACCTCTATGGCTGTAGCACTAGGTGATGCAGGTTCGAATTTCTTAGGGGAAATAATTTCGTTAAAGATTGTAGAAACGCCTTGCTAATGAGTATCAATAAGTATGAAGCCTAGATCCAGGATTTCCATATATTTACGTATATTCTGCTTTGCTGAGCATTCACCTGATAGTATCTACTGATATCTATGAACTAATGAAATTCCATTTCATCAATCTTCTTTGCTTGTTTTAAATTTGGAGTGGAAACTAGATGCTTTTAATTATGTTAAATAAATTAACATTTCACAAAGTAACGGAAGTGTAGTTAACCATTAAAACATGAATATCACTAGTGAATTGTTGTCAAAAGCCAATTATTAATCCTGGAATTATTGAAAATTAATGTAAATTTTATTTTATGTTTTTATTACTTTTTAGGAACATATTCATCTCCATCAACAACATGGGGTAAGCAAAATTATATTTCATGATTTAATTACCATATAAGTAATCGCGTATTTATTCAAAACCATCCATATATCTCACTGATACAATAAACAACTGATTCAACGTAACTCCTCATTCAAGAGTTCTCTCATTGTGTAAAGCAATAGCGCAACATATATCACGTATTTTCAAGTATTGGTTTTGTAGGGATTTTGTTTGATTGCATGGAGGATTTCATCATGAGCTGACATCAGTTAGAATTCAAGGACCATTGGATCGGGTCCCAGTGGCTCAATTGTCTACGAGCTCGCCTTGTAACCAGAAGGTCCTGGTTTCGAACCCCTGTGGTGGGTGCGTACCGATGAAGAGTCCCAAACTAGGACGAAACAGCTGTCCAGTAATCCCAGGTTTTCCAGGGGTTCTCTAACTGATGTCAACTCATGATGAAATCCTCCATGCAATATATCACATATATCCCTAGCTATAATGGTAACGCTTTTTATGTCTTTCGTATTCAGTCATATAAAAAATAAGCATAGTGAATTGTTGTACAGTACCCTCTTCACTTGGGAGATGTTAATACAGTTTGCTAGTGATAAAAACTGAGCGTCGGTGGCACAGCGGTTAGGACGCTCGCCGACCATGAGCATGGTCTGGGGTTCGATCCCCGGCCACTGACGCACTCCTTTACCTCACTAAGCCAAAAATAAAATCTGGTAAAGAGGAAAGGTTTAGGCTAGCAACCCAATCCTGTAAAAATAAATAAACACTGCTACAGAAACTTCAAGCCTCTAACTTGAAGCCTTATGTTCCACTGGTAACTTAAAGGAATAAAAAAATTGAGAAAACTGAGAAATATCTTAACAACAGGCCTATTGCTGAAGATTACCAATGACATACTAGCCACAATATAAATAAAATATTGTGAATTATAAGGTACATCAACATAAGTTGTCAGAATATGTAAAATTTCACTATTTTACTCTGATAGTGATAATTCTGCACTGATAAAGAACATGAACTAGCAATATTAACTCAACCCAAGACTTATGGTATCACAGCAACAAAAATAACTGATTTAGCTGGAAAATGTCTAGTTCATGTGTTTTACACGAGCGGACAATACAAAAATGAATAGGCACATTGTATGTATCAGATTTGATTAATTTGAATAAATAGTCGATCGATGGAATAAAATTTACATAAGCCCATATTATTTGGTTTTCCCGATGAGATTTAATGTTAGTAAGAATAAATGGGTAAGAGAATACAAAACATTTACTATATTTCGTTGTATCCCCGTCGTCTTCACTCAACCTAATTTGTTTAAAATATAACCTGTACGAAAACTGGGAGATGAGATGTTCCAGAGGCAACATCAAAGTTCTTTTTGAAAGATAATACTGTGAAATGGTAAAGATGTAAACATGGCATCATGAGAAATTTTACAACTGACTGATTAGAAAGATAAAAGTACTGAGAAAGGAATATGGGACTTGGTTCACTTCAGAAGCATTAATATCAGTGAAGACGAAAAAAATGGAAATAAAAACACAGAGCTCAAGTGGTGCACATTCTTTGTCAAAGCAACTGAAAGTCAGACACTGGCGCCGAGAATGTAAAAGCTGAATCCCATGTTATATTGGATTTCTTGACGTGAAGAAGGATTTTGTTCTACTGTTTAATAATAATTTCCAACGCATTTATAATCTTAAATTTATTTGTTCACCTAGAAAGTGATGCACAACTAAACTGTCAGCACTATTCAGTTCCCTCTAGTCTCTTAATATCTTCAACAAAGAGTTCGAAAGCCCTTCTTTTTATCATCACAATAAGCCTGCCTTTCTGTCTAATGCAAATCCTACTTTCTTGGAACGAATTCAAGTGTGCATTATTGAACCCTGATTTATGCGTACTGATGAAGAGTCCTACACTAGGACAAAACAGCTTTCCAGCACTCTCTGGTCTCCAAGTGTTTCTCTAACTAATGTCAGCTCGTGACTAAACATGTAGCTAATCAGATCCCAGAAAACCAATACTTGAAGATTATTTTTGTCTGATATATGATCAAAATGTTGGAGGTGAAGGAGTAAAATTAAAAGTTTCGTAGAAGCTCTCTGTTACTCATTTATTCTGGATGAATAATGATAGTACTTAGCTGTATATCCCAGTATTTTTGTGCAATGATTCTTTTAATAAATGCTCCAAATATATCCGAATCTGATAATACATATCACTATTACTTACTACATATGTGTTCACAGTCTACTTGTGAAACTAGAAGAAATTTATGACTAGTGTACCTAACCCTAAGACTATATATGTATATACTGTTTGTGTAGAGTATTACTTTATCAGATAAATGAAGCATATAAAACAGCTTTATGTATGATTTTAACAAATTATACAAGTTCCAAATTTGACTGTAATCATTCTACAACTATAGACTAGTTGGATACAGAATACTTTATGTTATGTGATGATGAAAGAAGGAATAAGAATGGAGATATGGAATGTACACACAATGTACGAGTCTGGAAAGGCTGCACAAGTAGCCAAATAAATGAAAAGATATGGTACAGAAGTGCTGGGAATCTGCGAGATAAGATGGAATGGATGTAGACTATTGAAACTGTCAAATGGAGAGTCAGTAATCTACTGCGGTTTGGTCACCCAGACTACAACCATTAACATACTGAGCCAGTGAGTGGCTATTATGGTATCACCAAAATCAGCCAAAGCTCTTATGCAGTAGGAACCAATCTCGTCATGCAGGATAACGACAGCAAGATTCAACTCGAAAGGAAGGAATGAAGGTCACAATCACTCAGTGCTACGCACAATGCTACAAACAACGATGAACAAGAGAAGAAGGACGATTTATATAGACAACTACAAAAAGTAGTGGACAACATCCCAAATGGTGACATCAAAATCCTCATGGATGAAATGAATGCCAGTCAAACTGGGAACAGATAGTACAGGAAGAGAACTCGTCATGGGTTGAGAGGCTCTAGCTCGGAGAAATGAATGAGAACGGAGGATTATTAGCAGACTTTTCCGCCTTCAGTGATTTGGTGGTCGGAGGCACCGTGTACAAGCACAACGATATTTACAAGGCTAGCGATATGGATTTCGCCTGATGGAAACATCACAAACCAGATAGACGTCATATCAATACTGCTCAAGGAAGTGGAGACGCAACCAGCCTGCTAGACACAAAGTCGAGAAGAGGAGCAGATGTGGGCTCACACCATCATCTAGTTCAAGCAACCTACCTACAAGGTGAAGCTGAAATCCTTCAGAACAACTAAAGCCAGGCCACTGTTATTCAAGTCGAACGTTCAGAAACTGTAGGATGAAACTACAAGGGACGTCAACCTTCACTACAAATCAGATCAGAGCAAAGTCGGAGAAACTACGTGGTATCAGTGAGAAAACCTGTGTGGAACAACACTGAGACTAACTGTCTGAATTGGTGTTCAAGGAGGTGTGTACTACTGTCCTAGGAAGAAAGAAGAGGCAAGACAATAAAAGGAATGGCTCTCAATGGACACCTACCTGGAAGATAATCGATGAGAGGAGAGGAGAGGAGGATTGTGAAAGAGAAGATGAATCAATGCAGAGATGGACAAGAGAAGGCGAAGCTGAGTTGAATGTACACTGCATTGAACAAAGAGAGAAGTGAAGAAGAGCGCTAGGAAAGACAGAAGACAATTCAACAACACACTGTCTGGCGGCAACTGAAGCAGAACAGATAGGCTGCAGGCAGGTGAAAGAGACCTCAGAACAATAATTATATCAGATAACCAGGTCAATCCGTATCCGGGAAGAGATCAACCCAGATAATGAAACCATAAAAGATGTTCAAGGGAACCTGATTACCAAGGGAGAGGGTGACAAATAAAGCAATAGACTGATCATTTCAAATAACTCTTAAATTGACCACCACTTGCAATTCGCCGAAAAATATCACCACCACCAACAGCAGCAGCAAAACAACTGCCTGCCAGTAGACACCAATCCTCCAACGAAAGCAGAAATCCTAAATGCGATCAAGCTGCTGAAATCCAGTTGGGAAGGCAGCAGGACCAGATCGAATTCCCCCTCCCCATCTAAAGCACTGAAAATAGACCCAGATGACCGACTATTGTCATCGATGATATTCTTAATTGTGGTGGGCTGGATTATGCGTCAGGCCGTGGGGAGTGAGAAGATAGGAATACGCTGCACTGACCGATAATGGATTTAAGACTCTAGGAGATCTGAATTTCGCATGTGGATGATTTGTGTCTCATTTTACACACAAAATAGGAGACTTGCACGCGGGAGAAAACGAAGAAACTGGATGAAGAGGCGAAACAGGCAGTGAAGACAGGACTCCAGGTGAACATAATAAAGTTGGCGACAAAAGTGATGAAGATAACCAACCAACCAGCAAACTGCGACAGCCACAACAACCGGCTCCAATCACCCACCATCGACGGGAGAGATTTGACAGAGGTTACTTCCTGACTTCCCTTTTCTGGTCAGGAAGCACGGTTTCAACCACAGACAGTTCGAACGGATGAAGATGTCAAAGCTCGCCAGCATGGATCGGAAAGGCAAGATACGCCTTCACCAACCTGAAACCAGTTTTGAAATCTTCTGCACTGCACTCAGCCAGCCAGCATAGAGAACAAGATTCGGATTTTCAACACCAAGGTCAAGTCGGTCCTTCTATACGGGTCAGAAACTTGCACTGCCTGTCACGAAAACGATTTCCAACAGGTTGTAGACTTTCATCAACAGCTGCCTTCTTCCTCTAATTTCTCTGCAGAGCATATTCTCCTATCTCTGTAGTACAGAGTCTTACCTAGTGATCGCCTAAAGTTATTTGGACAAAAACTATTAAAATATAAGTATTGTCCATTCCATGTAGAACTTTTATGAATATCTGCCTTCACTGGGTCTATACTGAAGATCGAATTGCAAGTTGGCAGGCCAAGAAGAATTAGTAACAAGGAACTCTGGTTGGTAAC